CACGCCTTGCACTCCAGGGGCTGCCCTGACTTCAGGTCTCACCACAAGAGGTAAGACCAGCTCTGGGGCAGTCCAGCTTCCTTCTCACAGCTGACCTCTGGCAGCAGCACAAAAGCTTTGGACCTGGTCCAGGCCCCACCTGACACCTTTGCCAGAACCAGGCAGATGCAGGTCCCAGCTGTGTACCAGGCAGAGAGGAAGGAGGGGACTGAAGAATCAGAGAGCAGAGAAGGCCTCCGGGTTTCCCATTCTTCTCCCTCAGTTCACTTACAGGAAGGTAACTGAGGCTTATGAGAAGCCGAGAAACTTGAACACAGACCTAGGGAGTCTGAATCCATAGGAAAAGCCTGATCATTCTGGGTTTTCTTTTTCAAGCTCCTTTTCCAAACATACAGTTCCTCATCTGACCGTGCAGAAAACAGCAAATGCCTCTCGGTATTAGAATCCCCACCAAGAATGCCCTGTACAGGTCAGTCTAACTCGGGCCCACACTGAGTCCTGGAAGTGCTGACAGAGGCAAAGGAACCCTGCATTCCTGCCTCCTGTGAACTGGCCTCGCCCTGCTTCGTGCTGAGGAAGGGGGAGGGAAAAGGAGTGCTCTGCACTTAGCCCATGGGACATTAATGGAGTCAAGGCATGGCAAGGCGAGAAGCTGTAAAAAGACAAAGGATTCCCCTATAAAATGGGCAACCCAAGCCCCTGGTCTTTCAGGAGAGGAAGGGCAAACAACAGGGACCAAAGCAGAAATCCACACTGTGAGTGCTGGTGGCCAAAGGAAACCACGTGGCTGAAGCCGAAGGCACAGATGGAGTCCAAACCAGGAGACCAAGTGAGGTGGGGAAGGAGAGAACAGGCTGGGTGGAGCCAGAGAAGGCCCACATCAGTTTGCTGTGTGAGTTGGCTAAGTTTGTTGATCATCCTCTCCCTGATTTGCACCTGGAAATAAAACCACTCCATCGCTTCGAATTCTTAGAGTTTCGTGTCCTTACTCCATCCTCAAGCCAGGACCTATAAGCTGGAATTCAGTTTCTAAGATCTCCAAGAGCAGGGCATCACAAAGAAGGGTAAACATATTCTGAACGTAAAACGATTATAAAGGCACACAATAATTTTTATTTTCATAGTTATGTGTTTATTTTTACAGTCACTTAAGAGTTATAATAAGCAATACTAGTTTTCCCTTTACTTTTTTAAAAGATTTTATTTATTTATTTATTTATTTATTTATTTATTTATTTATTTGAGAGAGAGAGAAAGCATGGGGGCGGGGGTGGAAGGGGAAAGAGGCAAAGGGAGAAGCAGACTCCCAACTGGGGTGATTCCAGGACCCTGAGATCATGACCTAAACCAAAGGCACACACTTAATTCATTTTTTAAATGCAGAGTCTTTAGACTCACAGAAGCAAAGAATGTTGATATTGGAAGAGACCTACTGAACTCTTAACTCTTAACTGACTGAGCCACCCAGGCACCCCCTAATTTTCCCTTTATGACAAAAAAATTTACTCAAGTAAAAAAAAAAGTCTGAGTCAATTTAGAGAGAATTATTCTGACAAAAATAATGAAGGTGATATATAACAGCCTGGAATCTGGGAAATGCTGCCCAGGATCTTCCCAAATAAAGAGCAATGTCACCTGCACTCAGCTGCATCTCACCGTAACCATGAAGCAAAAAGGCAAGGTTTGAAGCATCATGTTATCATAAACAGTGTGAATCCACCTACCCTAGGTGGGTATCCCAGAAGTTTGTTTTTCTTTTGTTTTGTTTATCTTTGGGGGGCTCTTTGGTGATCTCAAACTCCTCAGACAAGAGTACTTTTTCCCCCCATTTTACAGGTGGAGGACTCTGAGGCCTCCTTTATCCCAGGTCACTTAGATAGAAAGTGATTAGGAGAGCCATGAAGGTCTTCTGGTTCCTAACAAAGGACTCCTACAAAAAAAAATGGCAAAGTATAAGAAGGGACTATTGCACCTTCTTCCAAGGACATGTTGAATGCCAAAGAGGAAGGCCACATTAATTTGCACGTGTGATATAAGATAAACTTTGACCCACAAATGGTTATACCTGCATCTTTCCTCTTCATTTCTCTTTCATCTATGACTGGAAAAGCAAAACCAGTTAGAGGAGGATTTAATGCATAGTGATCTGTGCATTGAAAAGCATTCCAAATCTGTGACATTTCTGTCTATAAACCTAACCAGGCAGAGCTGGCAACTTGGTTCAGTGCTGGGATAAAGTTGACATTCAGAAAATGACATTGTCAATGCAATAATTTCCTTAAAGTACAGACTTTGTTTTAGGTTGTTTCTTTCAGAAGAAAATTAATAAAAGAAGAATTAGACTATTTCAGGGCTGGTGAATATGCAGAAATAAAGAGAATAAGCTACAGTACAGGGCATGAGCTGATCTAACTGAAAAGTAAAAACATGAATGATTTGGTATTTTGTCTAAAAAAATTGAATTTTTTTTCAACAAACTGATCAAGTTTAATAATGCTTTTGGTATAGTCTCTGTCCACCTTCCCTGGTTGCATGGTTTGGAAGTGGGGATCCCACAAAACTCCCCTCTGTCAATTTCTCCTACCCCCTCCTACAGCCTGGTTTTATGGGGTTCCACATGTAAGGAAGTGAATGACAATGAGGCAAACAACCTCAAAGAAAGAGAAGAGAACTAGAAGTGGAGCTACTAGAACTGAGTTTTAGTCACTCTCCAATTTGTGACTGAAAGTTTTATATTCTGGGGCAAGTCACTATATATCATCCTGGTCCTCAGTTTCCCTATGTATAAAAAAGATGGTAGGATTCCCAAGTCATGGAATCTTCAGCAGACTCCCCAGGTTCTATGTAAGAGCTGCCTAAAGCTTACTAAGATACAACTCAAAATATAATGATTCTATAATTTCAGTTTTCTGGGTAGACAATCCATTATTTTCATGTGATTTGCAAGAGTCAACAACCATGGTCTTAGGTGACTTTTAAGGTCCCTTCCTGATCTCGTATTTTATTACTGCAAGAGGCAGAGAATCACAGGAAGCAATAAGCAGGCATGGATCAGAGTGACAGAAGACAGGCATAGAGGTTATTTCTGTTCGTATTCCTCTACCAATGCTGAGCACCTCTGGGTTTTTCACCTATCCGCAAAATCCCTCCAGAGTCCACACACCCATAAATAGTGGGCTACTTCTCCAGAAGGGAACCCTATGTGCAGAAAACCACATTTGTTGTTATTAAATAATAAAAGAATTTTTGGACATTCACAAACCAGATTTGCACAACTCCTGCCACATATTATTTCCATTAACTTTGAAAGGACAATCCTTCATGACTATCAAGGGAACCTTTGGAATGAAAGAAGCCACATGCTGATTGTTAGAAGCTTCTTTTTTTTTTTTTTAAAGATTTTATTTATTTATTCATGAGAGAGAGCGAGAGAGAGAAAGAGAGAGGCAGAGGGAGAAGCAGGCTTCCCAAGGAGCCGGGAGCCCGATGTGGGACTCGATCCCAGGACCCGGGGATCATGACCTGAGCCGAAGGCAGATGCTTAGCCATTTGAGCCAGCCAGGCACCCTGTCAGAAGCTTCTTAAAAGCATGGTTTTGATTGCCTTCTCAAAGTACAGAGGCCAATAAACTGAAGGGGAACTAACTGGTGAGGAAAGGGGTGAGAAGGAACAATAATAAAATGATGAGCTATTGAAAAGATATGACAATTAAAAATCCCAAATTGGCACACTTGCCCATAAACTAAAGCCCCCTGGAGACACTACCACATTCACTCTGTATATACGAAGCTAAGTGAGAGAGACAGGCTGTCACTAACCCTCTCCACTTCCTTGTTGGCACAGAAATGGGGAGAAGCCAGAAGAAGAGCTGCTCTTCTGTCCACATCTGAAAGCCCAGATAATGCTCACTGGACATGGGGAGAAAAGATGTCTTAGTGTGAACCATATAAAACTACCATCTTTTTTATTGTTATGTTAATCACCATACATTACATCATTAGTTTTTGATGTAGTGTTCCATGATTCATTGTGCATAACACCCAGTGCTCCATGCGGAACGTGACCTCTTTAATACCCATCACCAGGCTAATCCATCCTCCCACCCCCTCCCCTCTAGAACCCTCAGTTTGTTTTTCAGAGTCCATCGTCTCTCATGGTTCGTCTCCCCCTCCAATTTTCCCCCCTTCATTCTTCCCCTCCTGCTATCATCTTCTTTTTTTTTTCTTAACATATATTGCATTATTTTTTTCAGAGGTACAGATCTGCGATTCAACAGTCTTGCACAATTCACAGTACTCACCATAGCACATACCCTCCCCAGTGTCTATCACCCAGCCACCCCATCCCTCCCACCCCCCACCACTCCAGCAACCTTCAGTTTGTTTCCTGAGATTAAGAATTCCTCCTATCAGTGAGGTCATATGATACATGTCTTTCTCTGATTGACTTATTTCGCTCAGCATAACACCCTCCAGTTCCATCCACGTCGTTGCAAATGGCAAGATTTCATTCCTTTTGATGGCTGCATAATATTCCATTGTATATATATACCACATCTTCTTTATCCATTCATCTGTCGATGGACATCTTGGCTCTTTCCACAGTTTGGCTATTGTGGACATTGCTGCTATAAACATCGGGGTGCACGTACCCCTTCAGATCCCTACATTTGTATCTTTGGGGTAAATATCCAGTAGTGCAATTGCTGGATCATATGGTAACTCTATTTTCAACTTTTTGAGGAACCTCCATACTGTTTTCCAGAGTGGCTGCACCAGCTTGCATTCCCACCAATAGTGTAGGAGGGTTCCCCTTTCTCCACATCCCCGCCAGCATCTGTCGTTTCCTGACTTGTTAATTTTAGCCATTCTGACTGGTGTGAGGTGGTATCTCATTGAGGTTTTGATTTGGATTTCCCTGATGCCGAGCGATGTTGAGTACTTTTTCATGTGTCTGTTGGCCATCTGGATGTCTTCTTTGGAAAAATGTCTGTTCATGTCTTTTTTTTTTTTTTTTAAAGATTTTATTTATTTATTCATGAGAGACAGAGAGAGAGAGGCAGAGGGAGAAGCAGGCTCCCAAGGAGCAGGAAGCCCGATGCGGGACTCGATCCCAGGACCCTGGGACCATGACCTGAGCCGAAGGCAGACGCTTAACCAACTGAGCCACCCAGGCGCCCGTCTGTTCATGTCTTCTGCCCACTTCTTGATTGGATCATTTGTTCTTTGGGTGTTGAGTTTGATAAGTTCTTTATAGATTTTGGATACTAGCCCTTTATCTGATATGTCATTTGCAAATATCTTCTCCCATTCTGTGAGTTGTCTTTTGGTTTTGTTGACTGTAAAACTACCATCTTTGAAAGTAAAAAATAGTCAAATATTGGCAATGTCATATGGTGCAGCCTACTATAGAGAATACCTCCAAAGCCAGGACATTCTAGCCATTTTGGCATTAACAAGGTGTTCCTGGCTCATCTCTTTGACAGAAATGATTAAGACTCTGGAGAAAAAGACAAGAGGTGGGTAATTCACTATGAAATCAAGTTGGCTCATTCTTAATGATTATAATAATGTTTTAAAAAGAAAGAAATGTTAAAATTCCAAGATACATCTTAAACTAACTCAGGAAATAAAGTTATGCTTTTTACAGAATTTGATTTAACAAATCTCTGTCTAGAGCCTATTTTGCACAAAGCACAGGTTGCTGACTATAGGGACATTTGCAAGGTTTCTTGGGATTTATCTGAAAGGAAAAGAGAAATTCTTCAATAAATAGGGAATAGCTAATGTCTCTGAATCATTTGTTAACAAAGAAAGGTTTCTGGATCATCAGCATCATCTCTGAAATTGTTAGATCTTTTTTAATCTGGATACACCATAACTAATTCCCAATTTTCCCAATTGTTGGGTATGTAGGTTATTTCTAATCCTCTTATATTATCAATTTTTCTATAATTAATAATATTCAATACTAAAAACAGTAGGGTTTGGCATAAGATTATTCTATGCAAAGGAAGTTTGACACCTATTAAAGTTTAAAAGTTAGTTTAAAATTTCCTGTAAGTTTAGGAATGGATGAAAGAAGCATTTGGCCAGGGTGCTCAGCCTCTCCCAAGCATGGAGTTTCTTGGTTCCTCTCTAATAAGTATCATCCAAGAGGTGAGACCAGGGAAGGTCTTCATCTACTACAAACCCATGGGAAAATGTGAATCAATTAGCTTTATCAACTTTTTATTCAAATTATTTTTTTAAATTTAAATTATTTTGTAACTCAAAGTTCCTAGGTTTTCCTTAGAGAATGTATCAATTAAAAAGATCATTTTTCAAATAGCAAAATTTAAAGCATTGGGTAGCTTCCCCTGCCCCAGTTTTATGCAGATGTAACTAACATAGAACATTGTACTAGTCCAATGATCTGATATGTATGTATACTATAAAATGACTACCACGGTAAGTTCAGTTAACATCCATCACCTTATGGAGCTTCGATGCTTTTCTTTTGTGATGAGAACTTTTAAGATTTACTCTCTTAACAACTTGCAAACATACAATGCAATATTCTTAACTATGGTCAGCGTGCTGTGCATTACATCCCCAGGACTTATTTATCTTATAACTAGAAGTTTGTACCTTTTGACCTCCTTCACCCATTCTTCCCCCATCCCCTGCTGCCTCTGGCAACAACCAATCTTTTCTATCTATGAGTTTGGTTTTTTTAGATTCCACATATAAATGAGAGCATACAGTATTTGTCTTTCCCTGACTTATTTCACTTAGCATAATGCCCTCAAGATCCATCCTTGTTTTTGCAAATGGCAGGATTCCCTTTTTTTAATAACTGAATAATATACCATTATATATATGTTTGTGTGTGTGTATGTATGTATATGTATATGTATACATATATATCTTATTTGTACATTTATTTGTTGATGGACATTTAGGTTATTTCCATGTCTTAGCTATTATAAATAATGCTGCAACAAACATTGGGGTACATATATCTCCTTGAGACAGTGATTTCATTTCCTTTGGGTAAATACCCAGAAGTGGGGTTGCTGGATCTTATAGTAGTTCTATTTTTAATTTTTTGAGGAACCTCCATCCTGTTTTCCAAAGTGGTTACACCAATGTATATTCCCAGCAACAGTGCACAAGTTCCCTTTGCTCCATATCCTTCCTGGCAGTTGTTATCTCTTGTCTTTTTGATGATAGCCACTCTAACAGGTGTGAGATGATATTTCATTTTGGTTTTGATTTGCATTTTCTGGATAATTAGTGACGTTGAGCACCTTATCATAACACCTGTTGGTCACTTACATGTCTTCTTTGAAAGAATGTCTATTCAGTTCTTCTGCCCAGTTTTTAGCTATTTGTTTGTTTGGTATTGAGTCATATGAGCTCTATGAATTCTTTATATATTTATATATTAGGGATGCGAGTCCCTTCTCAGATACATGATTTGCAAATATTTTCTCCCATTCTGGAGATTGCCTTTTCATTTTGTGATAGTTTCCTTTGCTGTGCAGAAGCTTTTTAGTTTGATGTAGTTGAAATTGTTAAAGCTTGACAGTAACCACTGCAGCTGTGTTGGGAGCAGAAAATTTTAGGGGCATGAAGAATAGACCTCAACTTCTAGTGTTAACCTTGCTAGTTATTGGGCCTCTTAAAGAAAGGTACCAGTGCAATAAAGATAGGCTCTGGCTTTGTTATTTTTAGGTACAGCTCTCCAGGGGAACTGGGCAGTGGAGCCTATGTTCTAATGGGGTCACCGGTAAAATTTACAACCTCTGTCAGCAGAAGCAGGGCTCTTGTTGGTTGACATTCCAAGGAAGGCCCATCTGTTTGTTCAGCTTTTTCCTGAGGGAGCCAGAAAGGGACTGCTTCAGTTTCATAAGTTGAAGTCCCTAATAAGAGAAAGCTTTGTGGTTGAGTCAAAATATTAAGACATAATATGCTGACATGCATACAATTTTAAAATTCAGCTTTCACCAATTTAAATGCACCCATGCTATCACATGGTTTTCTGAGCATTTCTCCATTAAGTGTAATGGTGAGGACAGTTGTACCCCCACATGTATAAGTGAGTTCAGGGACAACCCACAGTCTCCACTGGACCCTCCGTTATTACCAGTGAATCCACAGGTATTAAAAATAATAATAATAATATCTAGTAAATGGTAATAATAAACTTGTATAATAACTACAAGTCAGTTAAAATTCTGTACCAATAAAGAAAATTTAAGATGTTGTCCTTGCAATTTGGGTTGGAGAAAAAGAACTCATGAAGCTATTTTAAAAGTTACCAAATAAAATACAGATAGACTTTTATCAATAATTCCTAAAATGTATAACATGAATGACGAAAGCATCAGGGGAAAGAGAAAAAGATCTCAAATGGGATCAGGAGGGGACAAGGAAGAATTAAGGAGGCAGAGTTTTAATTGATGACTTCTTGTTTTGTTTCATCTTCCCACAGTGAGAGAGAAAAGATAGAGGGTATCAAGAGGAGAGCCACAATAACCAAAAATGAAGGAGCAGAACATGGCATGTTTGACAATTATTGAGTATAGAACAGTTTGACTGGAAATGAAGAACCAGATTATTTCTGGGTATAGGTTAACATCTAACTCTAGTCTTAAGTCAAAGGGTTTGAAATGGTATTGGAGGTAATGTAAATTTTTTTCCAGCAGTGGGTTAATGAGAAAGATTGATGATTTGTTAACTTGCTCTCCATTAAGATAGCTAGCCTGGAACCTACCTTGGTTTCTGATGCTCTGAATAGAGGGAGTACCCAAGTGTCCAGAAGGGAAATCTAGTAGAAAATACAGACTCAATTTTTTAAAGTAGCTAGCTCACATCCAAAAAAGGAAATCATAGCTAAATTCACTCATGCTTCCAACCTGCAAAGACAAATCAAAAGATAACTCCATTCAGCACATTAAAAGACCCATCCGGGCTTTCTGGGCTATTTCCCATGATCCTAGAGCTTGGTTAAGTGGCCTGACAGAGAGGACAGATGCTTTGAGTTTTTAACAATTTTCAGAAAAGCAGTTAGAAATAGCAACTGGTATCACATGAATACATCTTTCATAGTCAATGAAAAGGCCAAGGGAAGCCCAGCAGCACAAGAATGAAAGACAGGAAAAGAACAGATAAAAGTTGGGCAATTTTAACTAAAGCCACTCATTTCCTCATTTCTGAAACAGTCGAGTTGCTCTTAGACATCTGGGCTGATTAGTGTCATCTGGTAAAGGAAGCAGGAGGGCAGTCAAACAGAATAATCATCTTCATAATAACTCAGAACTGTATAGCACTTTATAAATTGTGTAACACTTTCAAATATATGATGTGACTTAAAACACTCAAGAAAAAAAATAAAATAAATAAAAATAAAAATAAAACACTCAACAATTGGTACTGTCAACAGGATGGGTCATACCCTCATTATAGGGGTGTTAGAAGCTCTCAACACCTATGTGAGTAACCATCCTTAGTTTTTCCCAGAGTAAGCTGTTTAGTCAGTCTTCTAACTTCTAGTCCAGCAGCCTTTTGACCACAAAATTTTTCCCTATATCTTGCAGGCACAAAACAGTTAAAAGGGTCTATATAAAGAAAACTTTCTTTTATTTTATATGTCCCTAAGTGTCTTATAAACTTCATTACTGATTCTAAAAATACATTTCCCGCGCACTAGCCCAATGAGTTTAGGCCAGAATGTGGGGGTCACTGTGCCATTCTCTAAGGGAGAGAATTAATGCCCTAAGTCATACTTTGCGTAATGAATTAACATCTCTCCTAGGCAAAGAATGGCACCAGTTAGCGCCCATCCTTGGACAATTGCGAAAACAGTTACTGAAATAATTGTCTGTGTTCTATGGTTTGGACAAGCACCCTGGTAGTACACTTACCTTTGGAAAAGGAGTCCCTTGACGACAGGAAAGCAGTACCACACTTCTCCCTGCCTATCCTCTACAGAGGATTGTATAATAAAGGTACTGATAATGATAACAACTGTCATTTACTGAGAATTTACTACACAACAAGGACTGTGGTTAAGTGCTTTACACATTTTAACTGATTTAATCTTCACAATGACTTCGGAAGGCAGCTGTTATTATTATTGCCATTTATAGATGACAACTTTGAGGCCCAGGGAAGTCAGTGAAACTTGTTCAAAGTCACACATGGAGTACGGGGCAAACTGGAATTTAAACTGAAGTCAGTTTCACTCCAAAGCCATTCCCTACCCCATGACACTTAACCGAGGCGGGTGGCACACTTTTGTTGCACGGAGTGACTGCGTCTCCTCTACCTCACTCTTAGTCGTTTTAGACAAAGGGCAGGCTTGTAGGCAGGCTGACAAAAAACACTGGTTGGGCAACAAACTGGCCCTTGACATTTGGATCAAACCAAACATAAGTGATGGGGTTTTGGAATCTAGGTGAAGTTAAATGGGGTGGAGTCCGAGCTGACGACCAAGAAAGAATTCTTGAGATGTCTTTGGTGCAAAATGGTGGTTTATTAAAGCAGGGGGCCAGGACCCGTGGGCAGAAAGAGCTGCTGCCCCGGGGTTGTGTGGGGTGGCTGATTATATACTTGGGAGTTGGGGGAGATAAAGAAAAGGGAGGTTTCGGGAGAACTTTCATATGCTAAAGAGGACCTACAAGATACCGGAGGCCTTGCCATTGTCAAGTTAAGGTTGTTTTTCCCCCTCCAGCAAGGCATTAACATTAAGATAGTTAGGAGATTACTGGAAGAATGTCACGTACATCCCTCCCAGGAGTGGGGGGGGGGAGGTTGTGGGGTGTCAGCTTGTGCTTTGTCTTCAGTCAGCCTTCTGCTCCCTCATCATAAGAATGTAACTTGGAGGAATTTCAACAGATCCTAGATTCCTTCATTCATGTGAATAATACTCACTGGGAATCTATGGTGTGTGACATAATGAGCCAGATCCTGAAAGTGAAAAAAATTAAAAACCATACTCCCTGCCTTTGGGGAAGTTACATTCTAAAAGGAAACATAGGCACACAAATGATTGCAGTACAATTAATAAATATATAATGGTGAGATCTATACAAATTAAAAAAGATGCACAAAAAGAATGCTCAACTCTATTTGGAATGCCACCATAGCTTTCCAGGAAAAAATGCTTGACCAGAATCTTAGAGTTTGACAGATAAAATTAGGTGAGAATGGCATTCCAAGAAAAAAAGAGAACATGCAGAGGGATGGGATACAAAACCACATGGGAGGTTTGGGACCTGTGGATATGGCTAAACCTGGCAAAAGTATAGAATGAGAGGAAGGGCAATAGAGGTATAAGACTAGTGAGGCTGGTCAAGGAGGGCCTTAAGTCATTCAGTGGAAGAGGAGATGCCTTTGAAATCAGATGCAATACATTGAGAAAGAAAGGTGGGGAGTGGAGCTGAAGCAGCAGCACCACAAGAAATATGTTGAAGAGAATAAGAAGGCCAAATCAATGGAAGTGAACTTTACTGATTAGATGAAGCATCTTGGCAGGTGAGAGGGAGAGAGGAAGAGTCTAGAGGATGACATCCAGGTTGTTGGAATGGGTGGGATGAGTGAATGGGCAAGGCAGTGAAAAGATGAGTTCAGCTGGAAGTAGTTAGAGATGGTAGTATCTATAGAACCCCAGTGAATGTTCCGCAGGCGTGGAGATAACATGAAGAGACTCAGTCATGTAGATGATCAAACTGGGTGCTTGTACTCCCAGCAAAAACAAAATTTGCCCATTGGTGGCACCCGGGTGACCACTTTTCTCATTATGAACAACGCTGGCATTTTTAATTTATCTTACTCTTTTTTTTCTGAGAGATGGGAGCTGACTTGCTGCCAACCACAAATAAACATGCATAGGAATTCTCTTTTTAAGATCTATTTTTTTTTTCATAGGGATTCTAGTCTTCAGCTCTAATTTCCTACAGGTCAACCATTTCTAATGCAAATATAGAAAGGATTGTATGGAACAATGGCCAATTTATATATAAGAACCTGTTTACTCTTGTCACTTCATAAAAGTTGGGGTTAACAGAAGCATACCTTGTCATGAAAGGGAAAAAAGTTCTTAAGTAGCACACATTAAGAAACTATCTTTGTATGTAAAAACTTGATTTAAGGGGCGCCTGGGTGGCTCAGTTGGTTAAGCGACTGCCTTCGGCTCAGGTCATGATCCTGGAGTCTCGGGATCGAGTCCCGCATCGGGCTCCCTGCTCAGCAGGGAGTCTGCTTCTCCCTCTGACCCTCCCCCCTCTCATGCTCTCTCTATCTCATTCTCTCTCTCAAATAAATAAATAAAATCTTTAAAAAACCCCCCACAAAACTTGATTTAAAAAGTTGGTTTTAAATGCTTAATTGGGCATCAGGCCCTTAGGGTTCAGTGTTACATAAAAACTGTAAAACTAAAATACATTCATGTTTACTCACCATAATTGTCTTGAATTGCAAATAGAAGATTACTGCAAGATAATATGAGGGAGGAAATTCCTTCTATGTTAAAGATTAAAGAGTGCAGGTAGGGTAGAAATGAACTGATAAGTATCATGTATGTCTGAGTAAGCAAGAAAGGTGAGCAAGAAAGAATTGTTAAAGGACATTGTAATTATGATTAGGATAAAGGCCCATTCAGCTAAGCAGTCACATCTGGCTTCTAGTGATATCAGTCTGCCTAATGGAAATAATAAGGTAGTGAGACTGTTGAAGTCTCTTGTGAATATTAGACTTATTTCCTCAGTGACTCAGACTTAGAATGTCAGAGAGATCAATTTATGTGAATACAATTAATAAGGTAATTAAGAAATAGAGACAGCTCAGGAGGATATTGCCTGATAATTAATAACCAGTGAGAAAGGATGAGGATCCCGAGAAACAGTGAATTAAATAAAGATCAGCATGAAGAATTTCTATCAATAAGATATGGGCTGTTCTCTAAGTCAGCTAAAGGTTAGTATCCGAAGGCCATCTGCTAACAAATAAAACTTAAACAGGGTTTCTTGGAATTGTATATCCTATAATCTAATGCCCTAGAGAGCCTAGAGAAAGGGGGCTATAAATAAGCAGGGTCAAGGGAAAGGGGAACAACATCATGCACAGAAAAGAGCACATGGTCTGGAGTGAGGGTCCTGGTTCTGTTCTCACCTCTACAAGAGATGAGTTGCCTAGACTGCCTGGGTGGCTCACTCGGTTAAGTGTCTGCCTTTGGCTCAGGTCATGATCTCCGGTCCTGGGATGGAGCCCAGAATCAGGCTTTCCACTCAGCAGGGAGCCTGCTTCTCCCTCTCCTTCTGCCCTTCACCTGTTCCTTCTCTCTCTCAAATAAATAAAATCTTTAAAAAAAGGAGAGATGAGCTGTATAAACTGGAAGGAAACACTTTACTGCTGAACCTCAATTTCTTCGTTAGTCAAATGGGATGATTGAACTCTATGACCTCTATGGTTCTTTGCAACTCTAAAATTTGAATTATAAACACAGTTCCATTAACAAGGACAACCAAAAAAAGCTAAAACAATAAGTCTTTGAGCCAGAAAAAAGAGTGGTAATTGTTGGCTGTTGGTGTTGAATAGGTATGAACAGGCAATGAAGGCCCAGATTTTAAAGGAAAAAATTAAAAAGAAAAATATAAAAGAAATCATCTCATTCTCTCCAGTCCTGCATCTGAAAAACAAAAATGAAAAATGAAGTGTGAGACTGTGGTTTATTTCTCTTTGCAACTCCTGGTACTTGTACCCAGATAATTTACTGGTTTTTTAAAGAAGATTTTTTTTTATTTATTTGAGAGAGAGGAGAGAGCCAGCATGAGCAGGGGAGCGGCAGAGGGAGAGGGAGAAGCAGACTCCCCACTGAGCAGGGAGCTAGGCCGGGCTTGATCCCAGGGTCCTGGGA